CAAAGAATTAATGGTTACACCCAAAATAATAGTCAGATGTAAAGCTGCACTGACAGTTTAACACGGCTGCACAAACAATCAAATGATCTAGGAGAATTCTCCTGGGTTTGTTCTCCTGGTAGAAAAACTCACCCATAGAAGCCTGAACAGACTTTTGAAAAGTTGAACTGTTGAAGAGAAGCAAGTTTGCAGTGCTGACGCAGCACAGCCTGGGGCCCCTGTGCACACAACTCAGGGTGCTCTGCAGGCTCCCAAGTTTGCCTGGCAACAGATGGCAGCAGTGCACAAGGAAGCCCTGATTAGCTGACCCAGATTGCTAGGGGTCAGCCTGCGTCTCCTGCAGCACAATTTGCGATTGAGAAGGGGGTACTGTTCTGCTCTTTGCTGGAGCAGAGGAAGCCAGCGAGCAACACATTGTTTTCTGCGGGCAGAATAGGGACAGAAGCAAAGCACATGCTGAAGGACTGTGTTGTGGCTTCTCTCAGAAAAGAACATGTACTAATAATATTCACTCTTGCAGGAGAAACTCTTGGAAGTAGTTTAACCCCAGTTGTCCCCAGGTTATCTTTTTGCTGCTGCAGTGGCCATTTTTGCTTGGGGAAAAAAAAGTCCTGAACATCTATATACTTGTTGTTTCTCCTGGTACAGAATGGTATAAATGTGACTGTACTTCCCTACCATTCTTATGGTGTCAGTTATCCTTTTGTACCTTAATCTTCCAACTGCACCATTTCAATTGCAGCCCTTCAGGATACATACATTTGCCCACAGCCTAGCACACATGATTCAGCCTAGTAGAGATTCTCTGTTTTGCTTCTCCCAAAAAAGAACTCCTATTTCCTTAAACATATGTTTTTCCCACCCAGCAGACCCTTTCATGTGTCTCTCTATGGATGCTATTCACTGCTGCTTCAACTTGCCTCAGAGCAGTTGCACCGTGCACCAAATCACAAGGCTACTTGTGTGTGTGCCCATGCAGAGAAACAGATTTTGATTTGGGAGCCCTGATAGAGTGAGAGGACAGCTATGTGGTAGGAGAGCTGGCAAAGAGGAGAGAGAAAACCAGATTTTTTTTGAGAAATATGGATATTGAGCTGGAGAAACAAACAGGGATGAGAAGTGCTAAGTTTAGAAAAAAATATACATTTTAAGTATATATAAAGGACCTTTGAAAGAGAATTGGGGTAGATTTGGAAATTAAAAATCAGTCAGTGACATATGAAACAAAGATTTTAATCCTGCTTTACCTGTAGGAGTCTGGTGAACTCTGTAGCCACTACTCCTACATCCATTTTATATGTAATGCATGCTTTTTATTTATATAGACATGAATTTTATTTACCTAGGCTAGATGCCCATATAGACACACACACTATGCATAGCTTCAGAATCTAATGGTAAAATCATTGCCTACACTGTAGGTCTGTGACAAAGTGGGAAACTACATGGCGCTGGGGAACACCAATGGTGGCATTGTCAAATACACCCATAGTTTATAACTATGCAGAGAAGTGATGGGGTCTAGTAAATGACCATTGCACACAAAATGATTTTGTTTCAAAACTGCCATTATTTTCTGAAACATCCTTGTATAAGCACACAGTAAACCCTTAAGAGATGTTACGCTTAAGATATGATTAACTGGTTAATCATGTCTTAAGTAGTGACCTGGCCACACATTCATTCATTTAATGGACTGACAAAACAGCCACAAAACAGGGAATAAGCCACAAACTTCATGGGAGCACTGGCCACACCTTCAGGTTAAGGTGTGATGGGAACCAGCCACAAAATGTGTTTAATAGCATTGTTGCTGTTTCCCATCATGCCTTAACCTAAAGGTGTGGCTCCCAGCCTCAGGAGTATACTGGAGCCATTCAAGACTCTGATGGGCTCCTGAGGCTGGGAGTACCAGTCACCTGATTGAGGCTTCCAGCTCGCTGAGAGTGCATTGGAACGCTTGGCTCCCATGGCTGGGAACCCTAGTCAGCTGACGATCAGCTCCCAAACATGGAAGCACATAGAGCCCTTGGTTCCAATGTGGTCTTTCATTTGGGCACTGATCAGCTGACTGGGGTTTCCAGCCAAGGAGCCCTTGGAAAGGCTTCATGCATTGCTGTACCTGACAAGGGCTCTAATGTGCTCCCCATAATGGGATCCCCACCCCCCAGCACAGGGAATGCAGGGAACCTCTTGGCTCCCATGGCTTGGAAAGGCAATTACTCAGCGCTCCCAGAGGGAAGAGCACCCATCAGCTGACCAGCACTCCCAGCCATGGAAGTCAATGGGAGCCAAGGCACTCCTTCAGCTGGGAGTCGTCATCACCTGACCAGTGCTCCCAGCCACAGGACTACACAGGAGCCACGCCTGCTCATTAGCCTGAGCTGCACTGGCAATATGGCATGATTGGAATGTGATCCTCAAACCCTCACTCATGCCTTCTGCAATGCATGTGTAGCATGGCAGGTGGCATGACTGTTGGGACTGCACATTAGATCCCATATTGCCTTAATTTAATGTCTGTCAATGGCCTTTAACACATGCACACATCTTCCTGCTCACCAGGTGGTTGTATGTAAACCCAGGTGTACTAAGCCAAAGTATTCGGTAAATGTTTTTATGGTCTGTGAACAAATTACCACCTACAGCAAATTTCAGTTTTGACTGTTCGTTGCTGAACTAGTATAGATTAGCAACACTGTACTCTGCATTTAGACAATTGTACATAATCAGACTTTTATTCATCGTATCTGACAGCAGTTTGGTGCTGTGATGTGCCACCTGTTACACTCGCATATAATTTCAGTATTGGCACTGAATGCTACCAATTGTAGTATTCGTCCCATAACACATGCTTTTAAAGAAGTCACACAATAAGAAGAAACTTCTGTAGGTAATAAAAAAGTACTATGAACAGGTGCTTTCTTCTTTTACAGATCCAGTTGTTTAAGATTCTCTTAGGCACAAATGGATGTGATAACATTTGGTTTTGTCTCTTATTCCTACACAAAATAATCCTTATATGGCAGGTCTATAGGTTTTCTGTCTGACTTGTATCTTAATTGGTGTATGTTTATTTAAACAAGACTAATAAACAATATGAAAACTAATGATTATGTAACAGAAAAAAAGAAAAAGCAAACACTTTCCTTTTTTGTCCTATTACTATGCAGTTAAGAGCCTGATACTTCCAAGCACTGACTCAGTGCAACTCAGGAGAGCTAGGGTTCTTGGCATCTAGAGGGACAGTGCCATATGGACATGATCCTCTCCAAATGAATTGGCAAAACTCCCAAAGATGAAAACTCCATGATGCTAAGACAGGACCTAAATGAATAACTATCACTAGAACAAACAGAACCTTTGTTAGCTGTGACATTGGCATGAACATAGCTTAAAGAGAATGAAGAAGCACAGTAACTTGCTACACTAGCCTTTCAGACCCAGAACAAGGAACTTAAAGAATCCTTTAATAAAATGCATAAGCAGCATATGGAGCATAGATTGCAACACAAAATTCTTTCCCTCTCAGACATACACTTCACTGGGCTAGAATCATATTCCCTCTTGGTCCTATTCATTTTGCATGTTTGGCTGTACAGTTGAAACAGCTTTAAGCAGAAGGTTGATAAATGCTGCTTCTTCCTCTCCTGTTGGATCGGGGGCACCACCTTGGGTGACTTGGAGATGAGAGGTTGAGGGAAGGATTACAACCCATCTCCAACTTCTTTGTCATATGCTCCAACTAGACTGCCCCATAAAACACCACCAGCACCACCTCCACCTACTTCTACCCCCAACCTTTAAAAAAAAAAAGGAAAAAGACAATGGCTATTCTGCTGTGCTTTGTGCTGAACACAGCTGTTCTAAAGGCATGCTAGGTTTACTGTAAGCACTCCTTCCATATCAAGACACTTAAACTTAAGCATGCTGATGCCTTGTTTGTTTGTCCCAAATGGACAGAAGGATGAAAGAAGCACTGAGATTTGCTTCACCTCAGGGTATGTACAGTGGCATAGTTTTAGGTGCCAACAGAACTTCATTGGTGAAAACATAGGCATATAAGCAATACTTTTGAGTAGGAAGAGAGTCAGGAGTCTAGAGAAAAGGAAATGGGGAAAACAAGAAAAAAAGGCAACTGTCCATCACTAGGAAGATTTGATAAATGCTAACAATGCATGGCTGGATTTAAAGTGAATGTTTCTGTGCTGCAATTGTTCCTGTTCTCATAAAAATGCTAATGTGGAAAGATAATCCCTCTTTCGGACTCACTTTCCTGTCCAGTTTTCTACAGGTTATTATTGTAATGACTTACTACAAATTGACTATAGCAGATGATTGTTCCTTTTAAGATTCAGCAACAATGCCCCTCAAAAATGGCACTTATCACTGTGAAAGGCTAGAGACCAGAATCACTTTCAGAGTAATTCCACTAATAATTTCTAGAATAAACCATGCATGATGCCTGAACTTTAACATCATTTATGATAGCCATATATGGTGCTGTCACCCTAGTACTATATATACTTCATAGAATTTGTCTGAAATATCAATGGGTGTCTGCACACATTAAGATATCACACTAATCCCCAACTAAAAGTATAAGAAAATTGAGAATGTGCCATAAATAAATATCCAATAAATAAGGGTCACCTGCCCCTCAGGCCCTCACCAAGGGCCTCAATATGTTAGTCCTGCAAAACAACCCCATGTTAAACTTAACTCATTGTAGCTGGCTGCTCAATAGATATATGTGCTAATCTGTATTTGCACTAAATTTGTTTGTTGCAATGAATGACAAATTAGTGTATAAAACAGTTAATGTATGATCGACCCAGATTTTAACAATACCTCTAAATGTGTTTGAGGTCCATACATGTCCCATATTCTTCTTCGTCTGACATCAATTCCTTTGCCTGGATGCTGAAATATATAGCTAATAGTTAAAAATTCAAATACTATCTTACATTCTTTTCATCACAGATTTCCAAGGAAATTTACCCAATCATTTCACAAACTACATGCAGAAGTGACACCATCCACAGCAAAATGAATCTACTTCTGTGAAACAGGGTAATGCTTCACTATGCAAGCCAGAAATTGAACAGCAGGTCAAACAGACAGAGCCAAAGTAGGTAGCCAGAATTTCACCCAGTTTGAAATTTGCCCAGGGTGTGATGTTAGGAAAATGCCATAGATACTTATATAAACTTAAGTAACAATGGTTTTGGTTTGTGTGAAAACCTAATATCTAATGCAATAATGCTAAGCCCTTGTTCAGGAAATGAGTGCTACCCAAGGAATCCTACCTAAACAGTGCCAGCTTATAGTATAGGCTCGTCCTAACACATTTACCATTGGCAATTCACAGGACAAAGTTAGGAAATAGCAAAAAGACTTGGGTCCTTATACGAATTTAAGGAGGCATAGTATAGCTTTTTGTTTGTTTGTTTAATCAAAACTTATCAGGTTAGCAATCTTGCCCTGGGTTCTGGAGAAATGCTACCTGTTTCATTCTCAAAGACGGGCATAGCTGGGCAGTTCTGCATCCTGGGCAGCAAGGGCACAAGAGGCAGTGGCACTCAGGACTGGCGTCCTGCTTGCCACCCCTCTCTCCCAGTTATGCTGTTGCCCAAAAAGCACTGACTTTAAATACAGATTCAAACATGTTTACTGTATGACAGTCAATGAGATCTTTACATAAGGTGCCATGGCTGCAAACCAAACCAAGAAACAAGAAATAAATTAACAACCCAACTTTTGTTCTAAGACGCCTATTTACATTGAATGGACAAAAGAAAGACATGAATGGGAAAAAAAAAAATCAATAAATGTTTCATGGAATTTCTACAGTCTCTAAGGGTGCACCAACACATCAGTCCCATGCCGGATTGGCACCAACATAAGGAAAATTGACAGTATTGGCAATTGGCTCTTTTTGGCTGATGTGGCCAAGAATTTCATCAATAAACGCCCCGTGCATGTACGCAGACACAATGCAGCATGCAGGTGGCCAGGAGCACAGCCCGACAGTGTGGAGAGCAGACAGGTCTGTCTGGTAAGTCTGTTATGAGGAAAGAGGTGTGGGCATGAATGACATGTGCCCTCAGCAGCTGGGGAGGCACAGCAGCAGTGGGAATGTGGCAGCAGTAACCTGGGGAGCTCCCAAAGATGCCTCCAGCAGGGGGAAGGGGATGGCGAGTGCCAACCAAGGGTTGGCAACCACCCACAGCAGTGGCCAGCGAGGATTGTGGACTGCCCACAGACACTGCTAGCAGCAGGGTGGTGAGTGTCAGCGGTGCCTTTTTGTAGGGGGTGCACCACCACGCTTAGGGAGTGCATGTGCCCCTACCCCCTACATGTTGCCCCTGGGTGTGGGGGGCAGATTGAGGTCCCCATGGTGAGGGAGGGAGGGGGACTGGGGCAGGTGTTGCACAGCCGGGGCGGGGCGGGGTGGGGCATGGCACATCATGGGACAGAGCTGTGAGTGGCTGGTTTGGGGGGTGCAGCAAGGAGGTGGGCAGTTCCCATTGTAGCATGCACCCTGGGAGGGCACGGGGCGGGCATGCCCCCAGATCTGCGTGCAGGACAAGGGTCAGTTGCCACTGAAGGCTGGGACTAGAGTGGACTCTTCCTGGCGGGGGGCTGGGCCAGACTGCATTTAGGGTGTGTGGCAGCAGCACTGGGAGGGGGATTATGGGGAGGGTCTACGGAAAATTCTGGGGTGGCTGCAGCCACCCTCCTATAGCCCCCTCCCAGTACTGCTGCCACCCACCCTGAGCACAGCCTGGGACCAGCTCCCCGCCAGGAAGAACCTGGCACTGCCCCAGCCTGCAGTGGCAGCATACCCCTGCCCCAGCTGTGTAGTGCCTACCTCTGCCCCAGCTCTACTGCCCCCCTCACTGTGAGGGCCTCAGTATGCCCCCCCCACAACAGTCTTACCAGCTGGACGCTGCTCTCTAAGCTACCCGGCTGCATAACGGCAATATCAGTATCGGCCAATATACCTCATTAAAAATCAGCCATTGGTATCAGTCCAAAAAAATCTGTCTGTGCACCCCTAGCAGTCTTATACATTTTTTATAACAATTAACATTCTTGCAGAAGTTTTCCTAACGACAAAGAATTCTACGAGATGAAAAAGAAAGGAATTTCCCTAGGTTTTGATAAAACTCGCTGAACTTCTTTGTTTGTTCCATATATTTCTGGTATCAAATAGCCTCAAGAACATAAATGTTGTGCCTTCTTTCTTTCTATGCACAAACAGAAATTTATTGTTTTCACAATTAAAAATTAAGGCTTTGATTTTTTGCTTTCATTATCCTTGGGTTTTTTTTCCCCCCAATATCAGTAAAGGTATGGGAAAATCCCTTGTAGCCTTGTGGAATAAACTGTAGCTTTATGTTTTAATGACTTAATTTACATTAGTCCTAAGCCAGCAACATGTTCATTTCAGAGATAAGCACTTCTTCTACAAATGAATAATAAGCCAGTAATAATATTTGTTCCTGGTGACTAGGGAGGTTCACAAAAATGCTCTAGTAGTACTACTGAAGTACAGTCTGTTACCAAACTCTTGGATAAATGGAACACAGAACTAGAAGAATGACTAGCTCCAATTGTATTTAAAAATAATTATACTTACCCCTTCTCTGCTTAGAATGTGAACCAGCAAACCATTTCCACATCCAAGATCCACAAAAGACTGTTTCTTAGACAAGCCTTTTTCTGCTCGCTCCTCCTCCCAAAGGATCTAAGCAAAAACAAAAATGACAGCAAATTTGTCATCTTTTGGAGCATTTTATAGCGACTAAGGGCTAGGTCCAATTAAGACTGGGTCACATAGCCCCAAAGTGGAATCCAGAACCTTCCCGTAGATTTATAAGCTCCTTATATAGAGCATGGAGAAAGGCTGGACCTCAGGACAGGATCCTCAATAATTAATACACTGATCAGGGAGCTCCCCAAGACAGACAACAGGAAATGATGAGGAAAGAGGTACACCTGAAAGCCCACACAGTCTGGGAGCTTTAGGTACCTTATTTTATGCAGCATAAAGGCACCTCTACACACTTGGGATTCATATCCCAAAATCTGTTCCCCAAATCTGATCTTTCAAAGATATGAGCAAGGCTTTTATAAATGACAGCACATAAAAGGGGCAGTCATGCCCCTTTTATATAGCATCCTACTGGTTAGAGCACTCCTGCCCATGTGAGCTTACTAACTCAATGCTGCTTGGGATCAAAAACAGGGTGGAAGGAGAAGTGGCGTGGGGCTTTTCATGGCAGAAAAGAGAAAGAACATTATCTTACAAAGAGCCAGGTGCTTTTGTGAACTGCTACGCACCCCCAATTGCACCAAAAACAACAAAAGTTGATATTTTTCAAAGCTATGCAGATGGGGCCCAAAGTGCGAGATAGGGGTGTACTTGGTACTATAGGTGTGAGATAGGGTACTTGGTACCATAATGTGAAATAGGGGTGTACTTGGTATTTGAGACAGAGAAGGCATTCTACCTGATCTACACATCGAAGAGCTACTCAGCACAGCTCACAGATGCTCTCATGGACCCAGAGGGACAGCCTTCCATCTTCAGCCCCCTCTGTGCAAAAATGAAGTTTATTTCCTATCCATGGGTCCTTTTTACCATCTTGTACCATCTATACTTTTCCCAGAGCCTGACAAAGGGACTTTGATCCCGAAAGCTTCCAGAAAAGGACAATTTTCTTGCGATTTTCCAGTTGGTTTAATAAAAGGTATCATTTTGGAACCAAGAGTTTTAGTTTTTTGTATGTCTTCTTGTCTCAAACCAACACGGCTACCAAGTACA